ATATCCGCAATTTCATATTCTAAAATAGATTTTTATTTTACAAGAAACCAAGCTGTAAAAAGAGTTTCTCTTAATTATATAAAACATAAACTTTATGCTTTTTAAAAAATAAAGAAATTGAATAATAAAAAGAAAAGAAAAAAACAGCTGGATATTTTGTAATGCAACTTATCACTGAGAATCTATGTAGTTTAAGTATCTCATCCCAACTTGATATTAGATTTCCTTTGAGTATTAATATAACCATTTTCATTAAATCAGTATTTGCTGTCATGTCGTCTATAGTTGTAACAGTATTAACCCTCCACGAACCAGGTGGAAAATCAACATAGATCATATGTGGGTGTATCTCATATCCCATGCTATACTTCATCTTAAATATACTATAATTTAGTATGATTGATAACAATGCACTCTCCAGTTGCTTAGATGCGAGTGGTATTTTTTAAGAAATTATTGAAATTCATCTTGCTGGAATGTGTCACACCCCACCTGGTTCACGGAGAGTTAAAAGAAATTTGAAATTCTCTTCGATCGATGGAAACATGGATACATATATGTACATGGATATATGTACATTTCCGAATATCAAATCAGTTGTAATTCATTGTAGCAATACACTGTTAGAAATTTCTCAATGAATTTTAATTAACATGTAAAGGAAGCATGTGATTATGCACGAAATTAAATGTAATGAATGATGTAAATAAAAACTAAATTACAGTAGTCTTAAATGTGATGAACGTGTGTATTGAAATTAATGAACACATTATTATAGAAATTAATTTACACGTTAATGAAAAGTACGAGATCTGTAACTGAAAAGTATATTTACGTTAATGACATGTAAGAAACGTAAACGTATTAAACGTTAAGCGTTAATAGTATTAGGCTTAATTAAAATATTATTAATATTCGTAAATGTAAAAGTACATTAAATTTCATTAATATGTACATTAATAGTTATTTCAATTACGATTAATTAAATGTCATTTATATCTGTAAATGAAAAGTATATTAAATTTCATTACACTTAATTTTTCAGTTACTGTAAACTTAAATCTCATTAACATGTGCATTAATAGTCCTTTCAGTTACAGAGAAATTAAACTTCATTCACCAATGTACATTTAAAGTTAATGAAATTTAAGAACATTTCTAACAGTGTAGTTAAATGCTTAACTGTTAGAAATAAATCTTTTCAATATGTTGTTACATCTTCTATTTTCTTCATGCTCCAATTGCTCGATACTTCGCCAACTTCGCTAGAAAGAGAGAGAGGGAGGGGGGAGAGAGAGAGAGAGAGAGAGAGAGAGAGAGAGAGAGAGAGAGCGAGACAACATATTGTAATAACTATTTACGTTAGAAAGCCAAAAAAATATTTTTAACACAAACATCTCTTTGATAAAGAAAAAAACAATCACAATTAATAAAGATGATGGAAAGGTATTTCTATTAGGTTATATTGTTTTTCGACAAAACTTCTTTAATTAACTTCTTTAACTCTTAGCTGGAGCAGTGGGTTACATACATCCGAGCTGTATATAACAGCGCTAAGCATTTGCAAGCCTAAGGGTGGATTAGAGTAGGGCTCAGTAAGGGCTAAAGTTTTATATCCCCATCATTCATTCTTCACCATTCTCCACCAGTTGTTTTCGAGGGTTAAATGAGAATTTTCCATGGTCGTTTTTTTATTTATTAGATTGTTGAATTCGATATATAACAAATATATTTTTTGAAAATAATTGAAATAATGGTTTTTTTCAAAGTATGTTCGATTACGTTTGAAATCTCGCTAGAATAATTTCCCTAACAGTTTTCCCCTCGAAACTACGAATTTTTAAAAAAAAACCTTGTTTTTCGCAAATTAATTAAACATTTTCTTTTCTTTTTTTTCTAAATATTTCGAATATTTTTAATTTCTTTGGCGTATCAATCGAAAAAAAATTGTTCAAATTCTGCGCCTTATATGTCAAGATGTATGCGATTAAAAACATCGGGGTAACACACACCCATGTGCTCCAAAATCTCGAATCAAATATAATGTGCTAGTTGAGGGTTAATAGACATAAAATTTGTTCGTTTTGCAAATGACCTGAAAAAAGCTATCTTTTAGTCATTTTTTAACGTTTTATATCATCTGAAATATATGTAACGCATCTGGATATTATTATTAATAATATAATAATAAATACAGAGTTGACAATATAAGTCAACTAAAACATAAAAAAGCGGCTTTTAAATTTTCAAAAATGGTCGACCTGAAGTCGATTTACAGTCGACATTCAAATTCGACAAAAAGTCATCCTAGAAATTAAAATAGTCGACTAAATGTCGATCTTACAAGTCAACTTTAAGTTAACTAAAAATAGTCGACTATTAGCTGTGAAACTGTTACGCGTGCCGTGTGGGAATGCGCATTGTGTAAAATAAACACGTGATGCAATATAAACATATACAGTTTTTCGTTTGAGTTTTGATTTATTTTATATACTATATGTTACGGGCAATATAATTAATTCGAGATTTATACATCTCGGCTGGACATTATGGATAATGCACGCTTTATTAAGGCATTTATAAAATTGTAAAATATGCATGATTAGATCTTTCAGTTAAAGTATTTTTGCGTTGTCTTTAAGTATAAAACTTAATTACAGAGTTGAGAAGTAACGCATTACTTGTAACGCCGTTATTTTGATCGATCGTTACTTCCAGTTTTTATTAGATGGTTCGGATTAGATGTTTCAATATTGCTAACGCTGAAAGATGTTTCGCTTTAATAGGTCTGTTTGCGTTGCATGAAATCCCGAAATATTTTTGCACTTAAAATAAGATATATAGATATATATTTGGCCTTGAAAAGAGAGAAAGCGGTGATACCGAGTGCCAAAAGTGCAAGCAATGCGAACAGACCTAATGTCTTTAGAAGTACTTCTATGTAGTTATCCAATGGCATGTTCGAATTCCCCGGGTGCTCCTCGGATATCGTCCGAGGAGCACCCGGGGATATCCATCCTTGTTTAACGTTCGGTAGTCAACAAGAATGGAGTGATACTTGGGTGATACGGGGGTAAAAATCTTAACCCAGTAAAAATTGTGTTGTTATAACAAATGAGTGAAATTTTTTTTAATACTTATGAATTATGATACATCTTTTTAAAGTATGCAAATATGTATTTACAATTTATTGTATAGTAAAAGGTTATTATATGCAATAAATGCAACTATAAAATTATTTTATCATTTTATTTTCTCATTTTTATTTCTTAAAAAATTTATTTTTTTTAATTGATATTTTATATTTTATATCTTAGGTTGTGACCTGCGCGCGCGTGTGTGTGTGTGTGCATTCCGATAGTCACTATCAGTATTGAAATTTTATAATTTACATTATACATATATATACTATGGATTTTCAGTATTAAAGTGAATCTTAAATACATTCCAGGCTAATATTAAATTTGTCGTATGACCAAACATTTCAAGTCTATTGATTGATTACAAGAAAGAGAAGTTGTCGGATCTGTTTATCCTGAGGCCAATCAATAATCTCAAAATCCTTATCGTATGACAATCGTATGAAAAAATGTATAATATCAGCTTAAGGGCCACCGCACAAACATTGTCGTAACGCCTTATGTCATCTTATGTCATCCGTAAAACATAACGTAAGTAACGTACAGAAAAGAACATAAAGCTTACCACTTTAAGAAGTGGTAAAGAGCTTGTGCTATGTTTTTCTTTGTGTGTTGCTTATACGTATGCCTTAGAGAGGACTATGTGTGAATTAAGTAACGCAAGGCTCTGACATAAAATGGCATAAGGCGCTGCGACACTACGACAATATTCGTGCGATTCGTACTATGGCCCTAAGACCTCAGCATAGACTTTTGACACATAACGCATAGTGCATAAGAGAATCAACCAGAAAGTTTCTCTTTTTCCTGTGAAATAGAAGAAAGGGACGATGCTGATTAGTTCTCTTATGCACTATATGCATTATACAAAAGTCTGTGCTGCGGCTTTTAATAATAACACCAGTGCTTAAAAACAATGTTAAATTTAAATTTAAAAAATTACAATTGTTGAGTTTAGCTCTCTTACGTGCAATGTTGATAAAATTAGACTCATTCGACATGTTTTTGCACAAAACGACCGAATCAGGCAGAAAACAATTGTCGCTCTGTCCTATAAAACGAGATATTAATCATTTAATTTGACGACTGTTTAGGTTAGGAAACCTGGTTTCCTTTATACTGGTGAAAAGCAGTGACACGAGCATAATGTGCTGTTTGACAGAATTTGACATAAAGTTCGTTCAAATATTCCAAGATATGATACAAAAGTATTAGCTGAATTTGTTTAAAAAAAGGAGTTAATTTTAATGAACAAATTATATAATGTTTTAAAAGTGATTGCGGTAAATTAAATCTCGCAACATCAATAAATTTCCTAAAATAAAATATATTTTCTGCTTTATTTCGTTAAAAGCACAAATTTTCTTATATAATTTAAATTTTAGCAAAGAATATTTTGTAATTTAAAATATATGTCTACACATATTCTCTGCTTTGATTAATTAAAAATAAAAATTTTCTTATCTTAGTTGTAAAGAATGTGACCACAGCACATGCTCAGTATGACAGGTTTCTTAACCTGAATAATCATCAAATTTAAAAATTATAATCTCGTTTCGCGGAATAGGGCGGCAATTATTTTTGTCAGATTCCATCATTTCGTGTAAAAATACATCAAATGACCTAATTTTATTAATATCAAACGTGAGAGGGCTAAACTCAACAATTTCAACAGTAACGAAAAAATAACGATCAATCGTTACTTTTTAAATTAAATAACTAGTAAGGGTAATGCGTTTACTTTTTAAAATAATTTTATATAAAATAATTTTTTAAATAAATAGCTAGTAATGGTAACGAGTTATTTTTAACAAAAAGCAGCTGTAACGGTAAGACGTTATTTTTTTTTCAGGTAACGTTCTCAGCTGTGCTTAATTATACAAGTGTTTATTCATAATACATAAACACGTATATACATACATATATTATACATCTGTTTGTAATACGATTATTAAATCAAAATGGCTATATTAAAAATGCTGAAGCGTACCCTGTGCAGAAACATTGCAACAAGCGGATCGAGATTCGTGGGCATCATAGGACCCTTAACAATTCCACCACTGCAGATTGCAATTTTATATTATTTCTGGCAGGATTATTCGAGGGTCGTGGATAAGCGGTATTGCTCCTGCTCGTGCTGGGACACTGTCTTTAAAGGTAACACTAAAATATTCTTGAAATATACTTTCATGCCTGTTTTCACCAAAGTAGATTAATTTTAATCTTAATTCAATTTACTCTCTATCCTTTTTTAATTTTCAAGACTAATTAAAACTAATTAGAACTTTTTATAATTTTAAGAAAAAGATAAGAGTAAGTTGAATCAAGATTAAGATTTTCTTCCACACAACATATTTTATCCAAGATACATCCTTAGGACGTTCAGAGAACATAAGAATATCCTCTGGATGTTTTTAGAATGTTCTTTGAAGATCTGTGCTGTGCGGGGTTAGTTCTAATTCTTAGAACTAGAAAAACATGAAGAATAAATTGAATCAAGATAATTAAAATTAATCTATATTAGTCGAAACGGGCATAAACCTACTAAATAGCAAATCGCAGATCCAACTATATAAACCACAATTTTTTTACAGGCTCATACGAATCCGGCATCGCTCCTTACAAACACATGTATTTTAATGCTACTTCAAATATGTTGAAAATATGGATACTCATCGTCATCGGAGTAATCGTGTTTTACGAAACAATGAAACATTTGGCGAAACTGGCCATCAAACAGAGACTAAGACAGTCTATGATGCTCCTCTTTTCAACCGCTCTGTTCTCCAATTACTACTCATGGTGGGTCTATATTAATTATTGGAACGATGACTTCTACTCTCAGTGGTACCACCAGTTGTTTTTTACAATTACTGAATTAATATCTACGGCTTGGGTTGTCTCCCTTGCGGATAAGAAAAATCCAATCACACACAGAAAGGCTTTCGGCATTGCTGCGATAGCTTTTTTACATATCGTGGCTGGTGGGTGGGACCAGTTCTTCGAAAATGTCGTTAGAGGAGAGGGTCATGCACACCAGGTAAGAATTTACAAATAATAATGAAATAAATTTAGTTGCTCACATTACATTGGATTAATGTACATTAAAATTGCTTTATATAAAGTTTCTAAAAACAGTGGTATAATATAACTTTCACGATGAAATAATATATATATATATATATATATATATATATTAGTATAATATATATATGTATATGTATACTCTATTATTCTAGAACTATGTTGTAACTCTAGTACTATATTGATGCATAAATTTTATGTACTTATTGAGCATTAAGCTATGTTCTTTCAGTGATTACAACTTCAATCCGTTACACTAAAAGCGCAAGGACAAGTTATTAAAACTTCTATTACTTATATACATTGATTAAGAGTGGCTTATTTTCTTGTACATAAAATTTACGTATCAGTAACGATATTATATCATTGAACTTAGATTGACAATATTGTTAATAGTTTAAAATATTTATTACAGGTCATACGCGATTTGGGCTTTATGATACCGGATATTCTCCAAGTCATCATTCCATTATGGCTGATTAAACGGGAAAGTATTTACAATATCCATCTTCCTAACTCATTAGCGTATATGTCAAGTATTGTGGTGATCGGATTGTGCATTTGGTCGTTTCTGTTGTAACGATATCATTAAGAATAGCATAATAATGTGCAATGAGCGGCAACAAAGTGATTGAAAAATCAACAATATTATCGTGTCTCTGGAGCTCTACTACTTTTGGTCCTCTCGGTATGAGTACAGCTGACCTAAGGAAAATCAATACGGGTTGATAGACTGAGTTTCACTCGAGCTGCCATTATGTTTCCGCTGAGGCTCTGTATTTTCCCGCACAATAAAATTATGATGAAATCACACGATGCTCAATTTCTTGAATGATAAGCATGCATGTATACTTATCATTCAAGAAATTGAGCATCGTGCACTGAAAGAGAAGGTTGGCTGAATATGGCATAGCATTCTTAATTGCAGCAGCTAAATTTTGGTTGCATTAGCTCATCGAAATCCTGTATTAACATTGCAGATAGACTAAAGCAACCAAAAATTGACTGCTGCAACAAAAAATTGGCTGTTGCAGACAATTAAAAAAGCTAGGCCATATTTTACCATCTAGTTTATTTACAGCAGCAGCCAATCTTTTTTTTTCAGTGTATGATTCCATTTTTACCGTTGTGTCTTTCCTACAGGAGCAGTAATTTTTCACGGGAGCGCGTGAGTGCAAGTGAACGGTTTTCACGAGACGCGTGTGAATTACTGAAATAATCGCAAGGGTAAATATTGAAATGGAGGGAGTCATTGTGTTGCTTCGGGGCGTACGACTTTCCATACAAAGCAACTTCCAGTCCATCTCCCTCTCTGACGTGCGTGCGACTTTTCATGAAAAGCACGCATGGTCATAAGCATCTTGTCAGAGAGGGAGATGGGGTGAAAGTCGCTCGTGTGGAAAGTTTTATTCCTTGAATTCGTCCATCTAATACTTCTCTGCTCGTTAAAGTTGTCTGACTCTTCATGTAAAGCAGGAAAATAATTACTTTAACTGTTAATAATTGTTTAACGAATAACGAGTGATAGCTAAAACTTGAGAGATGGGGTGGAAGTTGCTTCACGTAGAAAGTCGTGCACCCCTACACGGAGAAAACTGCGCAACGATGATCGCTGTTCGGACAGCGATGACTAGCGCGTGCACAATAACTTTTACTTGTGAAGTGAAAATTTTTTCTTGGCACAGTAATCATCGCTGTGCAGTTTTCTCCGTGTATGCACTATTGTATAAAAACAAAAATTATATTAAAAAATAACGTTTTCAAAGAAAATTTTCGTTTTTAAAGCAGGAAATTTATTTTAAAGCAGAAAATTTTTGTTCTATCCTTCATCTCAATATTTACCCTCATAAGTTCCAATACGAGGAAGTTTTACAAGAACAATTATATATTTTCATTCAATTATATATTTTCACTCATCTTCTTATCATCTTGAATAAGACATAATCAGGGTTGGGTAGTGCCAAGTTAAAAAGCTAAAAGTTAAGTTAAAAAGTTGAAAAGTTAAATAATTTTAACTTAAATTAGTTACATTTTAGACTCTTAAATTTTTAACTTTTTTTTTTATTTAGTTACATTTTATCGATAACTATTAATTTTTTATTTAAATTTTTTAAAGTTAAGTCTCAGACTCAAACATATACTTAATTTAGAACATACTTTATATTTTACTTAAAAGTTTTGTTTGTATATATTATTTACATTATATATTGATTTCAATCTAGCAAAATTCGTATATTTTAATATATCTAATTTTTGATAGGTTGAAATCTGTATATATATATATAAAAGTTTAAATAAAATATAGAGTATATTCTAAATGAAGTATATGTTTGTCATTTCCGTTATTTGTAAGACTCTGACATCATAAAATAGAAAGAAATTTAACTTTTAATTTTTCAATTACTTTTTTTTATTAACTTAACTTTTAATTCAATTCATTTCATTATACATTAACTTGTATCTTAACTAAGTTAAATTTTCAAGGTTGTTAACTTTAACTTAACTTAGTTAAAAGAAAAAATTAACTTACCGAACCCTGGACATAATATTTAAAATTTTCTAGTTCAGTTAATGATACAACTGGTATAGTGCAATATACATATTAACAAAACTTGACTTAAATACTCTTTTAAAATTATATGTATGTAATATTTTTTGATCATCAACAAGAAAAAGAAACAAAAATCATTGTTTTTTTCTATTTGAAGTGTTATTAGTCCAGAATCCGGATCGCGATGCTGTTTATTCCCACTTCAAGCGCCGCACGCGCCGCGAGAAGCATTGCCATCAATGTCGTTTACGCCGCCGCACCGGTATTGCTTTTCGTGGCGCGCGGCACTTGGATTGAGAATAAACTCAATAAACAGAAACCACTTTGAATCCGAACTTTGATCGTTACATACTCTGAAATTGTTTTCGCGCTGAACATAATCGGTTATTATGATATTGCATAGCACATCGGAATTTTTATTAAATAAAGGTAAAATTGGTCACTCCAGTCTACTGTATGTTACAGTCAAATAAAAATCCTGTTACATTCCAATATACAAAACTTTGTTAACGGCCTCGTATTCAATGGAAAAATTTTCAAAGAATATACTGTGACACTTCGAAGAAAAAGAAATGACTTTTTGTAGAACACATATTAGTTAATAACAATAACATATTAGTTAATAACAATATAGAATTGTTCACACTTTCTAATTAATTCAGTTATTGAAATATTTACCTTATTATAAATTTATTATGACTGCAGCATATTTAAAAAAGGGAGATAGAAATTTCGTCACATAAAAAACAAAATGTATTACGATATGTACAGTAAATCGATTGTAAAACGATCGAACATAAATTTTCAATTCCCATAATATTTTGTTATCGAACGCAACGAAGAATAAATATATATAATAATTATAAATAGTTTGACGATTTCAGAGGAGATATATATATATATATATTTCGGTATGATTAATAACGTGAATAAAATAAAGCGGCCTAATTTTTCTGATAATTGTTTAATTATTTCCGATATTTCGATTACATCTTCCACACACACAGAAACACACACACGCACACGCACGCACGCACGCACGCACGCACGCACGCACGCACACAGGGAAATGTAAAAAATCAATTTTTTAACATTACAATAATTGAGAAGGTAATTATTTTAAAGGTGTCGCAAATTGAAAATTAATAATTAATATTCCCTTTCCGCTCATGTAATTTACAAATAATTAAATAAAGAGAAAGAAACCAATTAAAACGAATTATATTCAAATGTATACAATGTGGTAATATTTATTCTAATTATATATGTATATAAATTTCACGGAAAATGTCCATGCATACGTTTCATATATTTCACCTTCATAATTATTCAGTTCAATCTATCAATATTTGTGGACTTTGCATATACAACTATTTTATATAACTTTGAAATTACGCTTTAACATGTACTTTCGACTGGGATTTTCTCTTTGTTTCTAAGTGCTTTGATTGCCCTTTCTTGTCGAAATATTAACCGAAGAATTGATTGGATTTATGACATTATTACATTATTTTACAATTTGACTTAATATAATATGGTTGTTCTCAATGCGTTTATTTCTAAGTGAAGGTGAGATGACCCTCATGATATGATATATTGAACATTTGATCGTTAATTTTTATTATGTGTTAAAATAATTTCACTGTACGGAATTATAATTTATATTCACGGTCGAGGAGGACTAATTGTAAGTCAAGTCGAAATGTTTTCGTGAAATTTATATCATTGAATATAATAAATATTACCACATTGTACATCTGAATATAGCTCGTTTTAATTGGTTTCTATATTTGACTGTTTGTAATTATTTATATTACCTATATATTTATTTATTATTATTATTATATATATTTATTTACAATCTAGCTGGATCTTAATGCTTGTATGATTCTTACGTAAATTTATATACTACGTATGTAGTTCCCAGAAATGCACGCCGAAATGATTTTT